ATTCTTTAAATAATCAAGAATTATATTAGGTTTATAAATATTTCTTAATCGTTTTTTTAATATTACTTATAATAGATTGTTTATAAATATATGTTATTATTTAAAATTTTAATAAATTTCTTATTTTTTATATTAGATTGTATTAGATTAAATAAATATACTAATCTATTTATAAATTAAAGAAATATATTATAAAAAATATAAAATATATAAGATGTAAAAAAATATCGTTTTTATTAGAAATATATTTTATATATTAATTATATTATTGACTTTTTTATTTTCATATAGTATTATTTTCATTAATTATTTTCATTAGTGTAAATGTGTTATTTCAAAATATTTATATTAGTATATATATTAAGAAATATATGAAATATCTTTAAATAATTGATTTTAAAAAATAAATATGCAAAATTTTAAATTTATTTTTCGAAATATAATGAATTTAATTATGTAAATATAATGAATTAATTTTGTTTGTTTTGATTTGTTTTGATTAATATATATATTATAATAATATTATACCATAATATCTAATTTTATCTAAGTGAATATTTCAATGAAATATTTAAAGTGAGTGTAATCATATTTATACTATATTAAATGTATAAAATAAAAAATAAAAAGATATTTTTTTTATAATGATGCATATATCTTAATATATAATGTAAGTACATATTATATAAAAATTTAAAAACTTTTCATATATATAAAAAATAATAAGTCCATTCTTTTTAAACTTTTTGTTTAAAAGAACTTTCATTTCATATAAAATTATATTAATTGTGATAGACATATAAAACACATATTTTTGCATATTAAATTTTATTTTGATATCTATAATCAAAACTTATTTCAAAAATGCTTCTTAACATCATATATGTATATTGAATCATAAAAAATGATTATATAAAATTTATAATTTATTTATAAATTTCTCTTATAAAATAATAATTGCATCTTTATTTACAATAATTTATTATATGATTCAATTAAAAAAATGACCATAATCGAACGCTATTATCTCTATTTTGTATTGTACTATCATATATTCTTTGGCCAGTACTAGTAGCAACTAATGGTAAATTTTTATGTAAATTAATTCCATTTATACAATCACAAGATAACTTTATTTTATATCTTGCATTAAGATTTTCACAATTTGATAATTCCCAAACTATAAGATCTCCATTTGTACTACCTAAACAATTAAAAATAATAAATAATCATATTTTTAACAATATAATATACTTAATAATTATTCATACATACCTGAGACTATTTCCTTTCCATTAGGTTTAATATCAAATTGAATTCTTTGATTTGTGTCGGATTGACGCCCTTCAAGGGAATAGAGCACAATACCAGGATTACGAAGATCCCAACATAAAAATTCATTACTACGTCTAACTACTGAAAATAATTTTGTTCCACATGGACTAAATTCAATTTGAGTTACACCATTTCCTGTCTTGAAAGTACATAATGGACCATCTTTATATAAACCTGACATATAAACACATAATTAAATTATTAATATTTTAATATTATCATTATTTTCATAGTTATATATTATTTATTATATATTATTTACTTACCAATATATTTAGAATAAGTACCAAAAGCAACTAATCTTGGCATAATTGGATTTTCTCGGATACAAGAAACTAATCCTATTACATTTGGAAAATCTTTTTTAAATTGAATAGTATTTATTTGACGACCTGGTTGTTCTAGATCAAAAATTCTTAAAGTATTTTTAAAACCAGCCCATATTTCCTTGGCAGAGTCAATAAATTGAATACTAAGTGCAGCTTCTACTTCATCAACTCTATTATAATAAAATAGAATATAATAATTTATAATATTGTAACATATTATAATATAATGCTATTAATATATATTTATACTATTAATATATATTTATATTACTAACTGATTATAAGCACGATATGTTGCTCGTAATTCACCATTAAATGCATCCCATAAGTGTATAGGACTTTCTCTACTTGTACTTAAAAAACAACAAGTTGCAGGTTCCCATGAATTCATAAAAGGATACCAACAAGTATCATATATAAGTCCTCCTTCTTTTACTGTTAATGCTGCTGAAAATTTTTTGGATAATAAATTTAAAGGAAATTTTTCAGAATAAAATTCTCTGGGAAGCTCATAAATTCGAATTCTAAAATCTTCAGAAGGTACTAATAAACATGTTCCATCTGGAGACCATTGACAGCCTTTTGTAAAATTTTCATGTGATTCTGTTGACTGATATTCCTCAGTTGCTTCGCATAATAATCTTGGAGAATTATTCCAATTATAATAAAATTGATTTGATTGTGTCATTTCTTTGTCTTTCATCCCTTTATTTTCATGTTCTATATTAATTGATTTTACATTGTTTTGAATGTCTGATATTTTCTCTTTTATAGATTCATTTTCTTGTACTATATCTAATAAATTTTCATTGTTTTGTATTTCTAATATTTTTTCTATTACAGATTCATTTTGCTGTATTACATTTAATAAATTTGCATTATTTTGTACTTCTGTTATTTTTTCTTTTACAACTTTATTTTCATTCATTATGTCTAACAAGTTTTCATTGTAATTTTCATTTACTTCTGATATTTTTTGTATATTTTTCTTTATTTCTTCTAATATAATTTTATCCTTTTCGGAATCTTGTGAAATATTTATATTTATATTTTGTGAATTTGATAATTCTTCTACTGTCAATGATTCTGTCTAAAATATAATATTATTTTATAATTTTTTTATATAAAAAATTTTTATATAAAAGTAAAAATTTATTAATAAATATTAAATATTAGTTTTACCATTTTTAAAACAAATTCTTCAGTTGTTTCCATAATTTTAAAATTCATTCCATGAATAATAATATATAGAATATTAAATTTTACATTTTTTATCTATATATTTTTTAAATATTTATATTTTTTTAGATATATTAAATTGCATAAAATACATTAAAATCATTATTTTATTTGTGATTTGTTCATTTATTATTTATAAATAATAAATTTACCATAAATTTATGATAAATTTAATTTACGTATTTATAAAAATATTTTTTTAAAAAATAATATCATTTAAAAAGAACATATAGTAGCAATAACAATTAAATTAATGAAAAATTTAAATAAATATTAAAATTCTAGTCTAATTCTTTATAATATTACTTATAATACGGTACTATTAAAAACAAAATATTATTATTATTTATATAAAAAAATAACACATAAGTTAAAAAAATATATATAATAACATTAAAATTAATTGTTTTCTTATATATCATATATGTTGTAATATAATACTTTTATATAATGTATATAAAAGTAAATTATTTAATAAATTATTATTATATTATAATTATAATTAATATAAATAATAATTATTTAATAAATTTTTAATAAATTATTTTAATATACTTTATTTTATTATCATTGTTCAATATGTTTTTCGTCAAAAACTTGATTTAACTAATCAGAAGATATAAACAACATTCCATATAGGGATATTTTATTTTTACTAACAACTAGTTATGTACTAGATTATTTGATACAAATCACTAGAAACAAATCAAATCACGTGATAGAAAGTATAATTTTAACTATAGTTTGAACAGTACAAAGTAAATTAATGAATTAGTAATATCAAGATTAATTTTTAAAAAATTAAGTATTACTTTTAATTTATTATTATTTTTTAATATTTTTGAGTGAAAATAAATAATAATGAAATATAATATTTAAATGATTTATGACACTTTTGAAAAAAAATATGTTTCAAACCTAAGAACTATATTTTACTTTTACTTTATTTTACAGATTTTTTTTAATTTTGAGGATATTTTTTGTTGAATTTTCAGGAAAATTCTTTTTCCTGAACAAAAAGATACAACGAGGTACAAAAAAATATAAGTATAAAAGGAGAACAAAGATGTACAGGTATAAGGAAAGTTCAAAGAATAATGTCTTAAGAAAAACGCACAACATTCAATAATCGTAAAAATAAATAGTTTCTTAGCATTTAATATATTGCTTAAACCATAGTAAGATTCTTTCAAATAGAATTATATATTCAG